GATGCCTACTTTCTGCTCTTAGCTTCCCACTGAAAACCTTTTAGTTAATGAGCCTGTAACCTGCTCTGATTATACCCATGGCATGCAAACAGTCATTGACAATAATTCTGTCCATTGCTGTAGTAGTTATTGTTTTTTGTTGTTGGCACCAAATATCTTACAAAAGTAAATTAAGAGAGAAGAGTTTATTTTGGCTCAAAGTTAAAAAAGAGATATGTTAGGCAGGGAGGGTAGGGGAGGCTAAGGATGGAATACAGGGAGAAATAGATAAAACCAAGGGCCATTTGAGGGGTAGTATGGAAACCTAACATAGTATATCTTAGCTAGAGTTTCTATTGCTATGAAGAGATACCAGGACCATGGCAACTCCTATAAAGGGAAACATTTAATTGGGGCTGGCTTACAGTTTCTGAGGTTTAGTCCATTATCATCATAGTGGGAAGAACGGTGGTATGCTGGCAGACATGGTGCTGGAAAAGGAGCTGAGGATTCTACATTTTGATCCACAGGCAACAGGTAGTGAACTGTGCACCACACTGAGTGTAGCGTGAGCAACGGAGACCTCAGAACCCTGGCCCACACTGACACACTTCCTCCAACAAGTTCAGACCAACTCCAACAAAGTCATATCTCCTAGTAGTGCCACTCTTATAGAGGCCATTTCCTTTCAAACCACCACACAGTAGAAGCTTCCTGAAATATATATATATATGAAGAGGATCTGTATGAACTTGCTAAATGACAGGGGAGACAGCGTTCCAGCTGGATACTTCTTTTTCATTTAAATTAGAAACAAGCTTGTTTCACATGTCAATCCCAGCTCCCTCTCCCTCTCCTCCTGCCGTGTCCCCCTCCAATTCCCACAATTCTCACTTTGCTCACCAGGGAGGGTGAGACCCTCTGTGGGGGATCTCCAGAGTCTGTCATTTCATCCAGGGCAGGGCCTAGGCCCTTCCCCGTGTGTCCAGGCTGAAAGAGCATCACTCCATGTGGAATGGGCTCCCAAAGTTCATTCATGTACTAGGGATAAATATTGATCCACTACCTGATGCCCAATAGATTTTCAAGGCCTCCTCACTGACACCCAAATTTAGGGGGTCTGGATAACTCCGATGCTGGCCTCTCAGCCATCAGTCGGGGGTCCATGAGCTCCCCCTTATTCAGGTCAGCTGTTTCTGTGGGTTTTACCAGCCTGATCTTGACCCCTTTGCTCATCACTCCTTCCTCTCTGCAACTGGTTTCCAGGAGTTCAGTTCAGTATTTAGCTGTGGGTATCTGTCTCTGCTTTTATTATCCCCTGGATGAAGGCTCTAGGATGGTATATAAGGTAGTCCTCAGTCTCATTATTTGGGAATTATTTTAAGGTAGCCTCTCCACTATTGATTAGTTTGCCAGTTGGTGTCAACCTTGTAGATCCCTGGAAATCACACTAGTGCTAGATCTCTCCTCAAATCTATAGTGACTCCCTATATTATGGTATCTGGATATGTCTTGTTACTCGATGAAGCTTCTAATACCAGGACTTGGCTACATCTAATTGAGTTGATGGCCAAAGGGGTCCCATGGGAATCTCCAAACAACACATGCTGTTGCCAAGACTATAGGATTTTCTGTACAAACTAATGGCTAGGCCCTATTGCTGAAGACAATATCCATAAACTTATTGAACATAGAGAAGTAAAGCTAGTACCTACGTAGAGCTTTCACTCCTATATGCTGGTATCTTTGGTACAGGAAGGTATTCTGCAAGCTACCAAAGGGAAAATGTGGGTCTCCTTCTCCTTGGGGTTGTTGGCCACTGACCAGAGAGGGCAAAGGGAGGAGAAGGGGTAAGCAGGGTTTGGATGACCCTGAGAGTGACAGAAAGAACTTCCAGGAGTCAACTTCATAGAGACACATCAGTTTATTGTTCCAGGAGTAAGGTATATAAGGGTTCTTAGGGTTATGGGAGGGAAGGGCTGATTGGTCATAACATAGCACCTAATTATCATACAGGCAGAAGGAAAGAGCAGGACTTTTGTGCTGAGTCATAACTCATTGCTCCCCCAAATAAGGTCAGGCATCTGAGCTGAAAGACACTCTCCAAATAATGTTACTGAAAGACAGGAAGCCCCGCTGAGAAAGGGAGTTCTCCATCTTGCACCAAGCTCAGAGAATTATCCAGACATGGTGGAATGCAACCTTAATACCAGGATTCCCCAACAGAGAAACGTAAACACCAACCCAGATGAAAACTCTTATATCTTCAATGTTGACCTGCCTATAGGATATGCTAGAGCAATGGTGGTACAAAGCTGTTGGGAGTAACCAACCAACATTTGTCTTCATGTAAGATCCACCCCATGAATGGAACTCAGACCCAACCCTGCTTGGGTGACCAAGAATCCAAGAATAGATAGCCAAGACACCTACAGTAAAGCTAAACACTACCATTAAAACAAACAAATAAGCAAACAAAACCCAATAACGAACAAAAATCAACCCAAAGAAGAAACAAAAACCACCCCCAAAAACATAGCAATAAAATGACTCTTAAAGACTTCATCCAATGCTCACAGGTCAGTGCCTCACTTAGCCTTCATCAGAGGAACTTCCTGCTGTGGCAGATGGAAAAAAATGCATGGATCCATAGTCAGACAATATGTAGAATGAGAGACCTTGGAACACTCAGATCCTACATGGAATATCTCCATCAAATATGTCCCTCAGGGCTCAGAAAATTCTTCGAAAGAGAGGGCAGAGTGTTAAGAGCCATAGGGGATGGAGGACATCAAGGAAACAAGGGCTTCTAGACACAGAGGACCAACATGTATATGAACTCACAGAGACTGAGGCTGCATGCACAGGGCCTAGATGGGTCTGCACAAGACGGGGCCCTAGAACTGAAAGAAGTTCACATATGCCCCATCCCTAGTGCAGAAGCTGTCTCCAATTGATAACCACTTGCAAATAAAAATTTAGTTTTCTCCGAGAGATTATCACTGGGGAAACAAACTATTCTTAAGGATAGGCTGTGTGTCTAGCAGTTGATGGCCAACAGAAAATAAACTCAATGGCATCTTTGGAGGTTCTTTGTCTCATAAAGTCATAGCGGGTATTTTTCTTTTGCTTCTTTTTTAATTTTTAATATTTTTTCTTCCTTTCTGTTTTTGTTTTCACAACAGGTCCTTGGATTCTTGTTTTGTGTTTTAATGGACTCTTGAGTACGAGCATTGAGTGGGTCTCTGTGTGAGTCAAAAAGTACATATAATACAACAGGGGCAAGATCACGAGAAATATAAAGAAGGGATGTAATGCGTCTTGGTGGGGGAATAAATGGAGGCAGAATAGTGGGAGTCACGGTGAGACTACTCGAGGTATATGACATCTGTAAGTCATGGGAAGCCTGAAGCTATTAGAGCTACAAGAGGGGAAGAAACATGCTCATCCTCAGAACTATCAAAAGGCCAATCCTGCCTCCACATCAGCATCAGACTAGTGGCCTCTAAAACTAGCCCAGAGTACATTCCTGACATTTAAACAGCTTGGCATGGGGTAGTGTTGCTGCTGCCCTGGAAATGAATACCAACCCTAGGCTTGTAGAGATTTGGGAAGGGGAGAAGGCGGAAAGTCACATTCTGATAAAATGTGACTGTAAATGCCATTTCACTGAGCAATCTGCTCAATAGTAAGTAAAGAAGAATGGGCTGGGTGGGGGTCACAGGTGGGCACGAAGCCTGGATTGCTCCCTTAGTTAGACTGAAGGAGGAAAGGCGTCACTGTGCAGCGGAAGCGTGCACACATCCTAGTAGTGGGAAGAAAGCAGCAGAATAGAGTGGTGTGTCATAGAGGTCAAAACACACACACACACACACACACACACACACAAAATCTCAAAGCCTTTGTTCCTTTCTCATTTCGACAGCATGAAGATAAAGTGACAGCTACTTTGGACACATGATGCTCATTATTGACATGAGGAGACCTGGTTCTTACACTTGAAGAGGGTGGAGAGCACAATTGGGATGGAGAAACCTGATGGTTAATCTTAATAAGCAACTTGGTTATTATATACACCAAACATAATAAAGCACATCTCTGGGTGTGCCTGAAAGAGAATTCTCAGGAACAATTAGATCATTGTTAGACCAGGAGTTCTGACCTCATAAATACACCAACTTTAGGAGAGATTCACAATATGGTAACATTGCTGGATGGGGTGAAAAATGGGAGGAGGGACCTAGTTGGAGAAAGTGGTTACTGAGAACATGTCTTTGGGGGAATATATCTTGCCTCGGCTCTTTTCTATGTTTGTGGGTCCCATCTCTGGCTTACCATGAGCTAAACAGCTTTTTACACTCTACATACCTACTGCCATGTTCTGCCTAATCACACAAGGCCAAGCAACCATAGCCTGAAATCACTGACCCAAAATAAATCTTCATGTCTTTGGAGAAATTCTCTAAGGTATTTTAGTTACAACTATTAACCAACACAGAAAGGCAGCATAATAACTGTGGAAGACTGTGTAAGAGGGGTTGCTGCAAAGCAAGCCAGAAATCAAAGCTAGAGGGAAACAGGATCAAAGGGTCAATTTTAAAAGATGGGGGGGGGGTAAGTGGTGTTCGACTCGCTTACCCCTGGGTATTAAATGACAGAATAAGTGAAGATTGGTTTTAAGTGAGCCCCAAAAGCTCAACTCAGAAAGCTTACTGAGCAAGGAGAGGTTGGTGATCAAACAAGGAGCAATGTGGATGAGTAGCCTCCTGGCATGCGTATTAAAGGAGGGGTGGATTTTGGTGAATGAAGTAAAAGCAATGGCTTCAGAATGGCTCTGTATCCCAACTCCAACATGCCGAGTAGAGAGTGAGAGGACGAAGCAGCCTCCTCAGGCTGCAGAGGATGCTGTGACCCAATAGAAGAAATCATCACTTGCTCTGGACTCAACCAGGGGCCAGGGACCCTTGTTAAGTTTGCCACACTAACTGCCATTGGCATTTTCTTTATTATATTCTTTATAGGAATCTCCAAATGACAGGCATCTCAGGACTACATTGTCTAACTCACTCCAGGAATCTTGGGTCTATCCTTGCTTGGAAAGCTGGTCAGGGTGGAAACACAGCATGTTTGTGTTTCTGTAAGAAAATGAAGAGGATCGTAAGAGGAGGGGCCCAAGAAGAAAGGACATTTGTCAAAACACAGCTACGGAGGGTATCCATGTCCCAGGAGGACACACATGTCACCGTGTGCAGAGAAACTGGAGCACAGATCTGTGAGTTTGCAGCTTGGCCTCTTCTAAAAAGTTCCATTTGAAATTAAGATGTACCACCCCTGCTCCTTTCCCTCTAGAAAAGCTTTTCCATTGCTCTAGAGTTTGAATGGATTGATATGAAAAGATGAAAATAAAAATGAATTATGGATGGATTCATCTCTCTGTGTCAGCAAAGACTTCTTAAGCAGAGATATGTTAATCCAAAGGGAGAAATAGTAAGTTGATTTACATTAAAATTAACACAGGTTCACCAAAAGACAACCTTAGAAGGCACAAATTCCAGCCTCGGCTTGCAAGATTATACTAACAAAGGACATGTGTAAAGACCATAAACATGTAATCAATACACTCTTCACCGGGTCACAGACTAGCCTTTGATTTATGTGTCTTCTTTATTATTGTTCATACTTTATTCATTTTAACCATATTGATTTAAACTTCTGCTTACCTGTATATCATATATATCACAATGGGCAAAACTTCATATTTTTAGTTGTGAGCCTAGCCTTTACTGGGTGAGCTATCTCTCCAGCCTTGAACTGAACCTTTTAAGTTACAAATAAAATAATTGAGGCAGGGTCTTTTGTAGCCCAGGCTGGCCTTGAAATCATTAGATAGCTGACGATGTTCTTGAACTCTTGACCCTCCTGTCTCAACCTCCTAAGAGCTAGTCCAAACATTTCTTTCAGGGTGCTGTATCTGTGAAGGGAGTTCATCAGGACTTCAGGGCAAGGTGACCCAGCATCCTGATTCTTCTCACCCTGATGGCACTGAGAAGAGAACGTCTCAAAGAGTATCCTGTGTTGTTCTTTTGCTCTCATCCCAGGTAGAGCTCAGATGGGTGCCTGCTCTGTAAAAACAGAACAAAAAAAAATATAATGTAGTTTTGAAAATATGTTCTATGATTTCTTTTTCTAGCTCCTTTTCGGGGGTGTCCAGGTTCCTGTGGGGATGAAATTATGATTAATTTTAATATCCCTTTGTCCAGGAGCAAGAAGGAAGAGAAGCATTTGCTGCTAAGAAAGGTTCAGGTTGCAACTTCTTCTGCTTATTTATTGAGGTTAAAAGTTAAACTGGATTAGGACAATCATATTTTTCTGACACGTTGACTTGCTTCTTAAGAAAACATATTCAGCTCTTTTTCATGAACCATTTCGGTGGAAGAGCCAGGAGCTCTCTGGTCATGAGTTTTGGAGAAACCCTGAGGGCCCCTTTGTAACCGACTTTGTTAGCTGTGCATATTTATTTGGCTCGCTTCCCCCTCTGGGTTACATTTTGACTGAAACATTTGTACATGGAGCAGGAGAACAGGCATTTGGGCTCACTTTTGTGAATCCTCCCCACACACATACAGATAAAAATAGCACCAAGTTGACGGGTCTGATGGCTTTCTCCAAGTTGTGGTCTAGAAGGGTGTCTGCATTCATCAATCATTTCCTCTCTCCCAATTTCCACAACTCTCCTTCTCCTGTGTTCCTAAAATTGGCTCATTTCACACTCAAGACTAAGAAGAAACAGGGCTGAGAAGAAAATCAAGAGGTGTCAGCCTTTGGCGCAGCAGCTGGAATGTTAAGCTCTGGGGTGTTAAGGAATCACCCCATGGATGACCAGCCATACCCCAGAGCTCTTCCACACAAGTCGGTAGGATAGAAGACTCTGTTTGAGGTACCATTCTACTTCTAATGAAATTTCCTATTGTAACTGGCCAACAACATCTAATATGGTGCACACTTATGACTGCTTTAGAATACAGAAATATAGCTATGTTTCTGCTCAGGGCATCAAATTTCAATCTTCCTAACTCAAAATCTGAAGTTGCTTGCCAGGGCATTTCCCCTTTCATAATGGGAAATGGATGGGATAAGACTTTTATTGGTTTTATTGTGATTATAAATAGTTTAGACATTACAGTCTCACATAAAGGAGAAAGTAAAAGTACCATATAATCCGTTCACTGGGGTTTTATGTACATCCTTTGAGAAACAGTCTACTAGCTATGAACTCTTTTTTTTGTAACTAACATGTTCTATTAAAATATGCAGTTTTAAAGGTTTTATTCTTATTTTTATTTGTGTGTGTGTGTGTGTGTGTGTGTGTGTGTGTGTGTGCCCGCTCGTGCACATGCCACAAGTATGCAATGTCCACCAAGGCCAAAGATAGTGTCAGATGTTGTGGACCTGGAGTTCCAGGCAGATGTGAGCCAATCTATGTGAGGGCTGGGAACGGAACTTAAGGCATTTGGAACAGCAGCAAGTCTCCTAACAACTGAGTCACAATTGGCCTCATCATATATCAATAAATCATACATTTGCATCCTGAATGAATTAAGGATGTTTCAGAGGCACATACACCATATTTATTTAATTAATTTCATACTTATAGACAACTGGGCTTCTTCTGGTTTTCACAAAGCAATGAAACCTTGTTGCAAAACCTTTTATCATACCCTGTACCAATCCCCAAATCCAAATCACATTTTCTTCCGCAGACAGCACTTGCTGACTTCAACTCACTGACAATAAAATGTACTGACTCCCTTCCTATCTCCTAAAGACGTGGATGTAATTACTTCACTAGACTCAAGATAAAAGTTAAATGGGTATTCATTGGAACAATTTCACAGAAAAAAAAATGCGGGAGGAGCATTTCTCTGCAATTCCTGCCGGAAGTGCAGGAAAGCCTTGCCTCAAGCTTCCATCTGCCTGAGGCCACGCCCAAGGCTGTGTGGCCACTATTATAAGTTCACTGCAAGACTGCTACAATCCCCAGTATGGGCATTACTGCCCTGAAAATCATCCACCAATCAACTGGTTAAAAATGCTGTGCTCCATTTTCGTTATTGAATTCGATTTCATTGATCATCAATGAGGTTGAGTACATTTTGCTATTTGCCATCTGATTATCTTGTTAAGGAAAGTCCCTCTAAATTGTGTTTCTAAAAAATAATGTAATTGACTGTAAGAACTGAAGAATATATTTACCACAGTGACATTTGTCCACCATGGATTTTGTATATTCTCTTATATATTTTTATTTCTAGGGAAGCATTTTTCTAGATTTCATTCTGTTTCAGTCAACCCTACAATCTATAAACCCCTTGTTTAGTGATTTCTGTCCTTGGCTGACTGATCAGAAAGACCTTACTGCTGACATTGTAAAAGAAATAGATGTAAGATCCTTACACATTAAGTTGTGACAAACATTTAAAGAGAAAATGGTGTCCGAATTGTTAGAGGATTGTAAGTTAGCTTTTTGTGTTTTGATTTTTGTTTTGTTGTGTTTTTCAAACACAGCATTGTTATACCCCTTTTGGGAGATTATGTATGAGGAGTCTGTGAATGAGGAAAACACCCATGATTCATGGTAACTGCATGATTGTACTTTCCCAAGAATCATTACACTTAAGTGCCTGGCATGGGGAGCCTTCTATTCTTTCTATGTCTATTCTGGCCAAGACACCTATCTTGCCTTTCCTGGTAAGTAAGGTTGAGTAAATGAATAATGGCATTAAAAAGTAAGGTGTTTATAGTTCTGATTAACATGAAACAGTGACATCATAAAATACAGTAGTAATTCATACTTCAGAAGCTAATAATGTTTAAACTGACTAAATGATTTCTATAACTTGAGTAAGTTATTAAGATAGATTTAAATCAAGAAATCTGTTTTAATCTGACAGATGTGACAATCTCTGCTTCTCTTAATTGATTGGAAGTATTTTGGGGGACCTATGGAGAAGAGGGAAGAGGGGAGGAGAGGATAGTCTCATCTAGACACCGGCTGCTTTCCACACATCATCCTCATTTAGTTCTATGCAATGGCCTCATCTCCAGCGTGCAAGACTTCGGAGTGAGGTAACTTGTTAACCCTACTGGAAATTCAGCAGAGGAGGGCAGAGCTTATACTATTTCGATTTTTTAAAAAATCATTACCTAGTCTGCATCTGGAGTCACAGGGACATAGTCTAAGCTACCAGAGAGGCTAATGATGATTGACAGATCAAGGCCTACTTAGTCTACAAAGAGAAAGCAAGGCTAATCTGGGAAAGTTAGTAAAACCCTGTTTTTAAAAGGCAAAAAAGAATTGTAGCAGTGTGTCTCAGTGGCCCTGGTTCCATCTTTAGCATGAATGAATAAATGAATGAATGAATGTCATTTCCTGGAAACCCAAATAAGATTCTTTTAAAAAGTTTTTAGCCATTTTTTTTGGAAAGCCCAGTATAAACTTACTTGACTTCAAAATTGAATGACCTTCCCCATCTACTAGTAACTGTCTACCAGAGAACCTGGTCACCAGTGAGCTGGTCCATTCCTCTTTGTGTTATAGCTAACTCTTAGTCGTGTGTGTATTTCTGTCTTGGACTAGAGAGATGACTCAGTGTCTAAGAGCACTTGCTGCTCTTATAGGGGACCCAGGCTTTGTTTCTAGCACTCACATTACCACGTGGCTTACAGCCACCTTTAAGTCCAGTTTCAGGGTGCTCTGACGTCCTCTTCTGGCCTCCCCAGGTACCTATCCACATACCAGACAAGTCAGCACAAACATAGGCACATAAGTAAACCTATTTTTAATTCAAAATTTCATCTTGTTTTCTCTTCTGCTTTTATACCATAATCCACTAATAAAATGTTGACTCAAAATTTTCCTAAGTAAACCTTTCAGTGTCTTCTCATAAAACAGGAGAGTTTGCTTAGCTTGCTGATAAAGTCCTGGATGTCTTCTGTTTCGATGTCTCTCCTGGCTTCTCAGGAAAGTGTAAGTGAAAATGCTGTGTAGCGAGCAGATGTGCTTGTCACTGAAACTGGCATGTCTTCCAAAGTGAGGAGATGGAAGGATTATACTAAACACACTGGAATGATGGGAAGGAAATGCACGTGCTCAGGCAAACCAAGAAAGAGGACCATCCTAAACTGATTTTAAAATATCAGGTAGAAATATTATCAAAATTGACTGTAAACTCTTCAAATGAGTGTTTATTTAGATTCAGAGAGAAGAGGACAGTTTCTAAAGTCACTTATTTCAGTTAGTTAGAGATTTCCTAGGATGTCATCTTTTTAAACTATAAAGTCAGGAAAGAAGCAACTAAAAAAAATATTTAACAGGAATACACCTCTGTAACATGTAATCTTCCCGCCAGTCAGCTGGATCCCGAGCTGTCTCAGCCCCCAAATAACACACAGAACACTATATTAACTATGAAGCTGTTGGGCATTTGCTTGGTTTCTTATTGGCTAGCTGATTTAATTATCAACCCATAATTGTTAATCTGAGTATTTTCATGTGGTCTTCTCTTACTAGAGAAAAGGGTCTGGACCTCTTACTCCTCTGTGTCCTACATTGTGACTGACTATGCCTCTGTTTCCCAGAATCCTCCTCGACCTCTAACCTCACCTGTCTTGCTTCCCTATTGGCCAACAGTGCTTTACTCAACAACCAATAAGATAAGCACATACACAGAAGGACTTCCCCCGCTACACCTCCACTTGGAAAAGTTTGGGAAACCTATGTTTATACTTTTTTTTAAGTAAAAACATGCATCTTTTCTTGTTTTTGATAATTGTGTAACACCCATGAGCCTTGAGTTAAGCGATTTATTGGATTAGAATATAAAAAGCAGTAATAAGTAGTAAACTAAGAACCAGGGTATGAGTAAGCAGAAATAATAATGCTGTTTCTTAAATGTGTGATCATTGGTCCTTATAAAAACCCTGTGATATGCCATATTCCCATTTAACAGAAGGGAAAACTGAGGGTCATCAGCTTGATGATGGTCATGAAATAGCAGTAAAACAGAATAATTTGTTGTCTGAATTCCAAGGCCAGACATTCACTATGAATGTTTTCTCTCATTGAAGAGAGAGTCTTTGTCTAATTTCCATTGTCACCTTCTATTTTTTCTGGGATGATTAAAGACCTATACTTATATCATGTATCTTTTTTCCCACAAAAATAAATCTGTTGCTTATGTTGTTTGTGGAACAGGCTTTTTAGTCTACCTGTTACAATTATTTGATTAAACATTTATCAGCATGGCTAACCAAAGAGAGTTATAGCGGTCTCCTATGGCAGAGATGCTAATGACGTTATTTATTCAATCACCCAGTTTTGGATTTTATAATGGACTGAAGCCATACTGCTTTCCTAACACAGGTTGTACTCTGCTTGTTTTGTCTTCCAAGATGGCTATCTGCCTTAGTAGCTAGTTTCAGAACACACCTGACCCATCAGACCCAGCAGCGTTAGTACCTCACCTCTCTCCATCCCATTTAGATAACAAGTAGGAACAGGTCCCTGACTGCTGTTGAAACTTTTCATGGGAACACATGTCTGGAGAGGGGCAACGGCACCTCTAGGAGCATAAACAGTGCTATTGATGATGTGTAATAATGATAACTGCCCTAGAGAAACCCATGTCGGTGGTTTGTAACCACAAGGAGGTCTTAGTCTCCTATAGCAACTGAACACAAGAATACTGGGGATGTCAGTGTTGGAAACTAGTGTCTGTGAAGCATATTGCCAAGAAGAACAATGGGCAATCCACCTGCTGTTCCAGATGAGAGTCACTGCGGCCCATTCTCTTGAAGGCAAACATGGAGACCAATCACCAATATTTTTTCCATCATCCCATGAAATTCTCCATGAGGATTATTGCATTGTTTAGAACGGGTTTCAGTTGTAATTTTCTGTCTAAATTGGGTTTCTCTTCCTGTCCTATTAAACCCATCAACAACATCCTGGTACTAAACAACAACAACAACGAGATCAAACAACACAAGTGTTAACATAAACATTAATATTTCTTTAACAATGCTTCCAGTCCAATTCTTGCTCTACCCCCACCCTCTTTTGATTAATGTTTTCATAATTTAAAAAGTTCCTTTTTAATGTGGGAACATTATTGTGTTGGAGAGATGACTCAGTTTGTAGAATGCTTGCTGTATAAGAATGAAGAATTGAGTTCATCCCCCTCACCCATATAAAAGCTGGTCATGGTAGTACATGTCAGTAATACCAGAGTTGGGGACTGACAAGACGATCCCAGGGGCTAG